CTCTATGCCTCAGGCTGTAAAATGGGGGTAATAATAGTTTCAACCCCATGGGGTGCTATGAGGATTAAATGAAATTACATACATTAAATTCATAAATACACACACACATACAAATGTCAAGCACTTAGAACAGTGCCTGGAGGGTAGGGATAGCTCAGTGGTAGAATACGTGCTTAGCATGCACGAGGTCCTGGGTTCAACCCCCAGTACCTCCACTAAATAAATACATAAGTAAGTAAATAAACCTAATTCCCTCCCCCCACAAAAAAACAATTAAAAAAAGAAGAAGAAGAACAGTGCCTGGCACAGAGTAAACACATGTAAGTGATGGCTGGTGTCATCTAATCAGGGTGTCTGTCAATTGCTGTGGAAGGTGACCTAACTGGTACAGGAGAAGCGACAGAACATAGGAGGACTTCTCTGAGGCATGGAGTGTGATGCTGGACTCAGGAAAAATGGAGTTGAGTGCAAAACATCACATCACTCTGTCTTCCAAAAATAGATGTCAATTCCATGCTAGGAAAACTGCAGGAAGAAAATGTCCGATGAACTCAGCAAAGGAAGAAAGCACATTAGAAACACCCAGTTGTGGGACACACAGATGCGGAAAGACCCACAGAGCTGCTGCCCAGGAAGGGGCCTCGTCTACAGAGACGTCGGCAGGAAGCCAAAACTGGATCCTTGCAAAGAGACACAGAGCGAGGCTCAGTCAGATTCCACAGGAAACCCATTCTGAGCCAGCTCTGAACTGAGCTGACAGGCCACGCACGGGGACGGAATGACATCTGGTTTCTCACAGCACACCCACACCTGCCAAGCAACATACAGCTTGAAGGTCTAATTTTAGAGTCAGCAGCCATGACAGCTTTTTTTTCTTTTAAAAAAATTGTCCGTATTTCATCTTCTGGGCACAGTGGCTAGCCATACTCTCACATTCCCTGCAAAGAGGGGGACAGAAGTAATAACGTGTCCTTCTTTCTTTGACCTCCCCCCAAAATTACCCATTCACTTAGAATGGCTTTCTAAATCCATGTCATGACCTAACAAAATATAAACTTCCCAGCACCTGAATCACAGCTTTCATCACGTCACCTCTGCTCAGAAACCTGTGTGTGGCTGCTTGTTGCTGAAAGAATAAAACCCATTGTCCATAACCTACAGTCCCCAATTTTGGGACAAGTCCATCCTTTATAAATGCCCATATTCCGGCCTCAGCACTTGGCTCAAGGTGGGCTCTCATCTTGGCTCGGCAGCTTAGCGACTGTATCACTTTGGGTAAGTTACTGAACCCGAGCTTCAAAACACTGCGGGTGAAGGATCTAGCTTTGATCTTGACATACTAGGAGTCAATAAATACCGTCCTGCTGTGTCAATAATGGAAAAGAGAGTATTTTGGAGAGGATGAGAATATAACAAACCAAAGAAAGGAAAAAGTGTACTTGGTCAAACCTTTTTATAGAGGAATCTGGGAATACGTATCGAAATACAAAATGCACATAACCTTTGACTCAGGAATCCCACACTGTCCATCTACCTTAAAAGGTCATCGAGTAAGTGGGGAAATATGTAACCATAGGGACTTCATCACAGCAATGTGTATAATGGCAAAAAATTCAGAAACGATCTAAATGCCATTAGGACTGGACCAAGAAAATTATGTAAACAGACACTAATGTTAGGTGATCAAAAATGCTTCTTTTTTCCTGAATTGTTTAGTATTTTTTACAAAATACATGTATCATTTTTTTCCAGAATCAGAGTGACTAAAAAATAACTTTTAAAAACACACAAAGGGAAAAGGTCCTGAAGGATGTTTTCCCTGGATTCCCAGGGCCAATTATCATTTTATAAGGAACTGATGAAGGTTTAGTATAGCTTTTCAGACTAGCCAAAAGCGCAGATACCTGCGAAAAATGAGGCTGAAAAGAGGTAGACGGACTGAAAGACTTACGTGTTTTTTGTATAAAATCAGAATTCTGTCCTTTTTATGACTTTTATGTACTTTAAAAAAAAAGCTCTCTTCTTTACCCACAACTTTTAAGTTAATCCCAACAAACATCCATGTTCTGTGCAAAGCTCTTGTCATGAGGGACACTGAGGGAAAAAAAAAACTCATGGGTGGTTCACAGCAAACCCACCTCTGACGCTAATAAGACTTGGCATTCACACTCATCTAGTGTGCTACTGAGCATTCTAGAATTGTCACTCCAGGACCAAAATTATGGAGAGCAGAAATGATCTGCACATGTGATGGGGCTTCAGAATGGATTTTAGATTTCTCGGTTTTAGTTATTCAGATTTGAGGGCTTTATTTCCCTTTAAATGATAGGTGAATAAAAAACTCAAGCCATACAGAATGATGCCAAAACACACAGTAAACTTTTCTCTAAAATCACAGTTCACAGCAATAATCACTATCCACATTGGGTGCTTGCTAAACAGTTTGCTTTTGTTTTTAAGCCTACCTCAAAGGAATTAATCATTTCTCACCCATTAAACTGACAAAAATAAAAAAGCATGTTAATATTAATTCCTGGCAATGTTGCAGGGAAACGAACTCTCATGGGCTGTTCATCAGAGTGTAAATGAATGCATGAACACACTGGTGACAGAATCTGTATAAACTAAATGTATGCACATCCTGAGAACCAGCCATATTCTTTTACCAAGAAATAACTCACATACCATGCAATTCACCCTTTCCGGTGTACAGGTCAATGGTTTTAGTATACCCACAGAGCTGTGCAACCATCAACACTCGTTCCAGAGTATTTTCATCACCCCAAAGAGAAATTCCACACCATTAGCAGTCACTCCCTCCTCCCCTTTCCTCCTTGCCCCTAGCAACCACTAGTCTACTTTTGATCCCTATGGACTTGCTTATCACGAACATTTTAAATAAGCTGATTCAAACAAAATACGGCCTTTTGTAACTAACTTCCTTCACTTAGCACAGTGTTTTCAGGCTTCATCCATGTTGTAACATGATTACTCCATTTCTTTTTACGGCCAAATTCTATTGCATGGATATACCACATTCATCAATTGATGGGCACCTGACTAGTTTCCACATTCTGCCAATTATGAATAACGGTGTTATGAACATTCCTTTACAAATTTTTCTGTGGACACGTTTCAATACAATGTAGAATTGCTGGGTCAAGCAGTAACTATGTTTAACTATTCCAGCCATTGAAAAACTATTTTCCACAGCAGCTGAACTATCTACATTCCCATCAGCAGCAGTGTGCAAGGGTTTCAATTTCTCCACATCCTTTCCAACACTTGTTATTGTGCGTCCTTTTTCATATAGCCATCCCAGCAGGTTTGAAGTCGTATCTCACCGTGGTTTTG